CTTAAAAAAAGCTATAAAGTAAGTTTCTTTCTCAAACAAGCAAAGATGACACACCACGAGGATGTCGTTGTACAAGAAGAAGAAGAAGATCTCGGAACTGCTATGGAGAAACTTGAAATCCCTTTCAAGGAACTCGAACTATTACCCATCGATTCGGTTTACGATTTTGCGGATGGAGTAAGAGAGATCATAGAAGATTCCAATTTACGGGTGAGTTTTCTATCAAATTTTTTAAGAGACGTTTTGGTTTTGAGGGTAGTAAATAAAACTCAATGTACGTTCTTCAATGTTCTTTACCAATGTAGCTCAAAGATTCTGATCCTAGCAAGAACAACAACTCTATTGATGATTCAAAGAATTCAAAACCGTTCCAAAAGTCTTCAAATTGGCCAACCGCAATAAGAAGTGGTTTCCGTGCACCACCAAGACGATCGAGAAACAAGAGAGGAAGACGAAAAAGACAGTGTTTCAAGAGTGCGGCTTGTCTCTTTGATTCTAAAAACAAAAGTTGTTCACACTGCGGGACGAGAAGCACACCCTTATGGAGGGAAGGTCCTAGAGGTATGGGAACCCTATGCAACGCATGCGGGATGCGGTACAGATCAGGCCGGCTACTTCCCGAGTATCGTCCTGCTTCAAGTCCCGGTTTCAAACCTAACGTTCACTCAAATTTTCATCGGAAGGTTATGAAAATAAGAAGTGAGAAGAACTCACCTCCCGACATATAGCTTCCGGTTCTGAGGGGTTTCAGCATTGAGATTTTCATGGTCTTCTAGTAGGAAATTAGGGTTTGCAAGTCGTAATTCACAAGTCAGTCTAGGTTATTCCGTTTTTAGGGACAAAACAGGATATTTTATGTAGCAATTTACGTATTCTTTAACATATTCTAAACACCTGTAAATGGATTCTACTTTTTTTTTTCGTTTTCGAAAGAAAAAATTATTTTACAAGTAATTTCATAAGACTAATATTGCATCTCAACTTGAAGCATTAACCTAAATCATCATGTCTGAAACCCTAAAGTATCAACAATTATTTCAAATTTTTGGAGTTGCAATACTATTATAGGATTAGGAAGGAAGATTCAGTGGTAGTAGCGCTGGAGACCCATGCCATGGTATATTTTGTAATCCTTTGTACTATTTTTGGATCAGGAACTTGTTGGGTCGGGTTCCGGTTTGCGCTGCCACAAGCTTCTTAAGATCTCCGACGGTGTCTTCTTCGTTGCATAAGTTACTTCCCCAGTCGATCGTTTAGAACCACCTTTATCACCTCTCTCGATTTCGGAATACTTCGAACATACAAAACTAAAGATGTCTTCTTTCTTTTTTGCTTCTCTTAAACAATAAGAATCTACCAAATATAAATACTTGGGCTACTGATTGATGGGCCTTTGAGTTCAATTTCCTCTACACCCATAATCCCATGGTAAGTCATGTAAACTGTGTTCAAAGAAAAACATCGTATTTATATGGAAAAACGGCTTATTGGTACACAAACTATCAACCGCGTTACAAGACGGACAGGAACTGTATACATGTACAAATTCATATAATTTAGCTAAAATATACATTAACAAATCGTATAATTTGACTCGTTCCAGTCATGGTGTTGAGTTCGGCTGTCCAACTGGTTTCTATATTTACATGATCAATTCTCCCAACTGGACTTCAGTGCAACTTTGGTTTTTATAGGGCCTACGATATGGGTTCAGACGGATGCTCCTTCGTTTGTTATGTTTAAGTTTTACGGGTTGGATTTAGTAACAAATGCAACTCCAACAATATGCAATTAAAATTATCAATAACGTTTTAAAATATATGATTATGCGTCAAAAGTTTGATTAATTTTCTTTTAGAGGACTTTTTAGTATTAAAAATAATCAAAAATAATTAAACTCTAATCGTAAATTTTAAAACGTTATTGATAATTTTAGAATTACAAAAGTTAAAATTTGTGGATAATTCCTCTAAATCCACGAAGAAAATACAATTACAAAAGTTTGAAATCCACGAAGAAAATCTCCATACTTTGATTATTTTTGCTTTAGAGGACTTTCTAGAATTAAGAATAATGATTCCAAAAGTTTCTTAATTTTTTTGTGTGTGTAGGTGACAACGGAAAATGGTCTTTGCCATATGAACATAGAATTGACAGTGGGATTGCCTCCGGACGGAGTCTTCGATACTTTATTTTTAAACTATCCTATATTATTTTACTTCGTTGTTTACTTTTTCAAAACAAATTTAATCTATTGCCGTGCATACGCACGGGCCTTAATACTACTACTAGTTAGACTCTAAAACAAATGTCCACATATTCATTCTGGCTGTCTATAAACAGCTTCACGACATGAGTTACGTCGATTTATCCAGTTGCTAACACATTTTTCGTGGAACAGATGCACACGATTAGGCAATACGTGTATGGGATTTGTGTCCGAGTCCAACAGATTCTCCAAACAGTTAGAACACTTGTCCGTTTCCAATTCTACTACAACGGTCTCTTGTCTCGAAATAGAAGGTGCGACGTTGAAAACCTGCTGGGTCAATTTGAGGACGACCATCATGCACAAGTGTTGTCGTTGTGAGGCCAAAGTTTTACGTTCTCGTAAAGCTTGGACTACAATCTGATCAGTGATTTCTTCGCGCACGACATGATCGTTAAATTGGTTGTATAGTTGTTGGTAGACGTAGTTTGGTGTGAAGTTAAGGAAACTGAGAAAGACGGGAGGTCGAGGAGGACCAGAAGTTGGGTAAGATTTGTTATAAGAGACTGTACCATCTAACTTGTCTACGAGAAATTCCTCAAATTCCAAAATTTCAGTGATTACCACCTCGCTTTCTTCCCCTAACGGCCGACCATGAGACAAAACCATTGCGTCCACGTTGACCTTGATCGACCCAAATTTCAGTCTCGTGAAATTTCAATAAAACCAGAGAGAAAGATAAGTCGTAGGAAATTGAGAGAGAAAGAGATTATTGTGAATTAGGAAATTAAGATGAGAATGATGAAACTGTGGGAGATGTAATAAACTTGTATCGTATACATATAGGAAAAGGCTTACATCAAAAAAATTTGGGTCTGCTAA